AACGTGAGCTGACGCGCTGCTCGCCAACGAATAAGGCGCGTGATTCTGCCTCCTCTGCTTCGTCGAAGGCATGCGTGTACCAGGATGCCATGCTTACGTGTCCTCGGGCGTCGAGTTTCGGAAACAATGTATCACCCGCGTAAGTTCACGCACGGTGTTCGAGTCATCCTGAACAAAAAGACGACTGAAGAAACCAAAAACACAATAGCAGATATTGAATTAATTTGATGCGCTAATTAGGATGTGCTGATTAGGTTACTGCTTGCTATAATGAGTGATGTAATAAATTACTTAAAGCAAGTAACTGATGATTACTCACTATTTTTCCAACTGCTTTTGACTAAAACATTGCATCCTGCTTTTTTAGCGGCATAAAAAACCAAAAAAATGAAAGGAAAATAACCGTAAAATAAGTTAAAGTTTTTAGTACCGACATCAAGTGTGGTAACGAGACAAGCCGCGTAGCATTCGAAATCGAAGTGTGGAATAACCTAAGGCCACAGCCCTCGAAACTTCAAACAATGAGGAACTTCATATAGTTAAAGCAATTTTAAAATAACTTTGAAAATTGCAACATAATGCCACCACTTTTGGCCACCCGTAATTTGTATTCGTAAGATAACTTAATTACACCTTAAATGCTTATCAAGCGTTGGCGGGTGTTTTGGGCATTAACCTTAACTTGCCCGTTGTTAACTTCCCAACATTTCTCATTTACCTTTCTAACTTTCCCTTCCCCAAGTGTAGGGCACTCGACATCGCAAAGTGCGCAATCAATTTCCTTGCGTTCCCTCCTTCACTTCTTTTCTTGCTACTCTCTCTCCCTCGTCTCATACGGGGTTCGTACATTGACGAACTCTGCCAGCCCTATTCCGTTATCTGTGCTTACACCAGGCAATGGAAACGCGCTGCATTAAAATGCGATCTGGAATTTCCCTCTGTTTCCGAGAATATTGCTCATCATTCCGTGTTGCTGCATAGTCAAGAAAAACCATTTCCGCTTAACACAGTCTCTTTCTTGCCTCCTCTCTTTCTTTTTCTCTGTAGTCGGTTACAACTTGGGAAGTCCGGAAGGATCCCGCCCAGAACGCCAAAGCGCAGCAGCTAAAGAAAGTGTCCCGCTCATCTCGTCGGTGTTCTCCGAAGGCGGGGTTGCTAGAAGACCCAACATTCTAGTAACGCTGAGTACACTGGCTCATGACGTCATTCCGGTCTGCGTGCCCATCGGCGCCGGCTGGCGTGCATCCGCCTTTGATGAGGCAACGCCGCGAACTTCTAAAATTGTATCCGACTATAGGATGAGCGAGATGCGGCAACGTTATGTCGAGAAGAAAACTATACCGGCTTAGAGAGAAGTAAAAGCGGATATATATGCCTCGCAAACCACACGGCGTAGCTTTAGGAAGGCGATGATGTCATTCAGATGTGCCAATACTGTACATCGGTTAATTCTCCCAAACGATAAAAAAAAAACACAGTAGTTTAGGATAATGTGCCGGCTTAAAGCGTAGAGAAGTCGATCGTAGAACAATGAATGTCGCCGGAGGCAACGTTTCGGCAAGCTTCTTTGTCAAATGGCGCAGTGCGCGGTGGCCTGACAGAAGACAGGTCACGTTGTTAAAACACGTAGAGAAGATGGCAGGTTTGATCTGAACATAATACGTGTCTTATCGCGCACAAAAAAAACACACACACACAGACATGTACACAGTAAAAATGTCTATTTGTATTATTTCTGCACTGATGGAAGTACCACAATGCTCGTCGCAACGTTGTTTCCAGCTACGTTCGTTGTCCGCGCCACCTTTTCGCCTGTACTCACGTAACGATGATATATTAAAAAACACATTGGACGCACTTCAGAGTGCGCGTCGTCTCGTCCGTCCCGTCCCAACTAAAACAGCGCTGTCAAAAAGAAGTGCCACGCCACAACACGCTGAGTTATAGACGGCATTAGCGCGGCGCGCACAAGGTGCGATGGCAACTCTGCCTCAAGGTCACGCGGACCTGTAGACGTCGGTGAGGAAGGGTATACGACAAATAGAGTAACGTCATCCGCGGAGCGGTCACGTGTCCACCTCGCGAAGACGACGAGTCCGCGCATATACCTGTTACGTGTCGCCACTCCGAGCAAGCCGCATAACCCGACGAAGAGCGCATGCGCGTGTCAGTGGTGTCACCCAGCGCCGCCCACTTTGCATAACGACAGCAGCTGCCGCAAAAAAAAAAAAAAGAAAAAGAAAAGCACGCAGCTCGGGGTGACATTTGTTTACGGAGTGCCAAGACCCCTCACTCGGCAGCGTCTGCAGCCAAGGTCTCCTGTACCCTCGCATGTCCTCGCACCTCTGTAGAGCTCTATAGACAGCTTCACAGACGCTCACGCCGGAACCGGCTTCCCAGCAGCTCTGCAGCAGCCATGCAGAAACAGTGTACACGCTGCTGCTAGTGCTGACACTGAGAACGGTTTGTCCCGTTTAACGCTTGCTGAGTCCACGTACGAAATCGAAGTGATGATGGCGACCCGGAATAACCGTAGAAGGAACCTGTTTTCAGTTGATAAACAGTCGTTGCGTTAACCATCGTCCATTATGCAGACAAAAACAGCACGTTAAGCAATACTTCAGTTCATGGGGTCGAGTGAAGTTGAAGGTGAAGTGGAACGGCCTTCGTTCTCGAGTTTGCGTCGTAAGACCCGACGAACTATATATTAACACGATTTCGTACCTCCGAAAGCGAGCGCGAGCCCTTGTTCTAAATATAATAAGTGCCGGCTGCCCGGGATTATGCGAGACAGCCTGCGACTGCCTGATAATTATGTGCATGCACCCTCACAACACACTTTCGATGTTTACTCAGATATCCGAGGACCCAAAAATTGCGCGTGATAAACGGGTGTGTTTCGACTCACCGGTTCTTACGGAACGCCCTACGCTGAATGAATTGCATGCACCATACAGAGATCTTTTGTTTGTCCGCAAACGTTAAGGAATATGGCCAAGGATGGTTGCTTTCTGGGCTAGTTTATTTATTGTCAATATATGTAACGGCGCATAAAACTATAAAAAAGACGGCATGGACAGAGAGTAAAGAGCGCTTTTTACTCTCTGTCTTTGTGTTATCTTTTCTAGATTATGGAATCTGTCGGAATAATATTGTCACGGGGTCGTGACGTGGCCGAAGACAGGAGACTTTATGTTGGGATTTAACTGTTTATTTGGGCGAACCTGTGCCCGATAAACGGAAAGTTCGATTACAGTAGCAGCCTTGCACAGATAGCAATGAACGGAGCGTCGGCCGTCGATCAACTATACTCACAAGCAGCGAAGTGCGTCGTCATTTATACTCTTACCATCGAATGTTCTAGCGTTATCGCTGGCGGTTACGAGTGTTCCAGAATAATCTGTACAGTTCGCGGAGTGGGCGTGATCTTATCGAAATGATCTACTACAGTCCCGAAGCTTCTCGAAAACTGCAGGCGCGGTTTGCGCCGAGAATTGTGTAGTGTATTGGGGCGATAACAAAGCTTGAGGAATGGAACGTAGCAGTGTACATGTGACTTCAACGCGCGCCATCTCGTTGTACGATTCTCAGATTCCACTGAGCTTCTGAAAAGACATCGCGTTTATCACTGTGCTGACTGTACAACGGAAGGGCGGTCACCGTGACGTCAGAGAGGCGTAAATGTGAAGAGAGAGGGAGGAGAGGACACAACCTGGTCACGCACAGCTAAACGAAACACGATCATTATCGTCCCAAGCAAAGTGTATGCTGCTTCGCTGCTTGTACATTTTTGACAGTGGCGTAATCGTGGATGTCCCTTCATTTTAATCAATTTTTTTGGGCAAGACTGCTCGTTTAATACAAAGAGGACACCTGACAACTAAAATCGTGTGGTTAGCTCCCATCCAACTCAAAAAGTGCGTGTAGACAAAACGTCACGAGTGCCTCTGCGAGTGTATACGTTAACACGGTGTAGCGCTAACTATTGGGGACTGTATAATATATGTAGACAGTGGCACTAACGCCTTACAGAGTACACAGGAATACCGGGCACACGAAAGCTATCTCATGCTTTCTGTATAGGCGTAAACAGTGACGTATAAAAGCTCACCTGGCCGAGAGGATGTGTCCCCGTTCCCCGTAACTAAAATTAACGTCTGGTTGCTCAGGTGTCCCACAATTGATACAGCAATGTTTGATATGTGGGGTCTAACGTCCCGAAACTACCATATGATTATGAGAGACGCCGTAGTGAAGGGCCTCGGAAATTTCTACCATCTGGGGTTCTTTAACTTGCACCCAAATCTGAGCACACGGGCCTAGAGAATTCTCGCCTCCGTCGAAAGTGCAGCCGCCGCAGCCGGGATTCGATCCCGCGACCTGCGGGTCAGCAGCCGAGTACCTTAGCCACCATAGACCACCGCGGCGGGGTTTGATACAACAATGGGACACGCCTCAGTTGGAGACAACAATTAATCCTAAAATTGGAGGTTCTTCTAAGCGCGCAAGTTTTCTAGCATCTCTGCCCCAATGCGGTAACCATGGTCGGAAATATATCTTTCCATCCTCTCTGTCTATACAGCGTGGTTACTCTTACGAGCCTGCGCTCAGCCTGGATAAGCCGCAACGTGCGGCACAAAATGTCCGCACAGGGGAGCGTGATTTAAGCAAATGGAAACACCTGACGTCGTCTCCTCCCATGTCCCATGACCCGTGTCCATTTCGACCGTGTCGCTATAGACCGCAGAAGTGTGGCAGCTTGGGCTAGTTGGTATATAGTTATCGCGCGAGAACAAAACTACGACACAGAGACAAGAAGTCTTTCGTGTTCTTCGTGTCTCTGTGTCGTCGTTTTGTTCTCGCGCTATAACTATCATCATGCTGTAGACCGACCGGGATAAGTGTCCTTGAGTATTGTACGGCTGAGTGCCCGTATAGGCGCTTTCCGCGGCTGCAACTGAACCGCACGTAACAAGCACATCTCTTCTTCGCGTGTGCAGAGTGCTACCACCCGAAGGACGTGCAACGGATCCGCGAGAACGACGACCTGTGCCGGCGCTACGTGCGTCACAAAGAACTCGACATTCCGGCCGCACTCACATGGGCAAAGAACTCGCTCCGATGGAGGAAACAGTCCGGCATCAACGGTACGTACTACTCGCTCCGCGGGTGTTTCATCCTGCATGATCATGCAGAAGCGCCGCATGCGGATCACTGACGAGGATATAGTTATAGACTATTTTAGCTACGACATGTGGGCTCCTCCATCTTCGGATGCTAAATCTTGTTTTTGTATACTTCGATGTGAAAAAAATAAGGCCATGAAATGTCGCATGCACTAACCCAACCATCTTTATGTGTATGCATCTACCGTAACACTGTCCGTCTAGTTAAAGATGCAAAACATAAAGGTTAACAGCCCAACATGGCGGCGCTGGGACGCCTCCATAAAATAGTCTATACGGATAGTGACAAGTGTCTATTACCTCCATATTTCCTCCAATAAAGGATTTGCGGAACATCGCGGACATTATATTTCATAAGGGCTCAACCTGGTTGCTCGGGAGGTCAGTGTGATTTTTCAAGATGTTTTTTACCTCGGTTTTGTAGATTTGAGCAAGTGACAAGCGTAGGCGTGCGCAGGGTTTCCCGTTAGAGAAAAAGGAGTCTCACCACAGTAATTAAAAAAAAGTGCATGTATACACGTACGCGCATTTTGACTGTTGTAGAGAATGAAAAAGAAGCTCGAGAGAAGGTCCCTGTTGGAATTTAAAGACAAAGCCAGGCACCTCACATTTACCTTTCGCTCAACATTGTGACGGGCACCACACGATATGCGATTCTGAAGCTTTCACGCCAACTTCTTTAACGGGTATGACTTTCATTATCTGGACCATTATTAGCGAAACTTCTCCTTCCTTAATTACCTTGTATATAAGCGGGAAGTTCAGAACGTCAAACGGAAGTTGAGAAGACCGAAAGTAAGCAGAAACCGAAGCTATACATAAGGCGGGAAGTCAGTGGCGGATTCAGAAGTGGGGGCAGTGTTAAAAGCAATTGCCCCCCCCCCCCCCCCCCAACCCTAAAGCCATGTGTCAGTATCCCCCCACCCACCTTAGTGCCTGTTCATTCTCTTTCACCGATTAGGACAAATTAGTGGGACCACTGTGGACACAAATTAACACTATTTGTGCTGCGACGCGATGCTTGTGATGTTAGTTATGCTACAAAAACAAGTCGAAACTCCCTCTCTGGTTTTACTTCAAGTTACCGCCCTCCCCCACCCCTAAAATGAGTGGCGGGATCCGGTCCTGCAGGAAGACAGCATCAACAGTTGTTGGCTGGCTATAACACAACGAATGCACGGTGGATCCACCATTACTATGGCTAACGTAGTTAGGTTGGCGGCCGTGCAAACTATTCGGCAAACGCACTGCAGTAGCCACCAGCAGCATCAGCAGTCGCTACGAAATCCCGGAAAGACCCGCAAAGAGCTCCGCTTTGTTTTTTCAAAATTTCCCAGTTAAATCTTTGTATTTGGGTGTCCCGCTCCAACAAAATTCACTGCAATAATACAAATCATATTTAATATGCGATACTTATGCCTTCAGGTACTCGCTGTTAAACTTCATGTCGTCGCAGGATTTCGAGAAAGACATTTTCAACGCAACTTCGAGACTTTCGTTTTAGACGTCCTTCCTGTGGCCTTCGATATGTGAAAACACGGCTCCTGTGTCCTACTAACCTACAAAGTTTTAGCCCAACAGTTTAGTCAGAAAGCAATCTAGCTCTACTGGATCCAACTAAGAATCCTTTAAGCGGAGCGTATGATATTGCGCATATCTAAAGCGGCTGCCAGGCGGTTCGAGTATAGACCAAAAGTAAGTATATAGAAACCGCAACTGTACATGAGGCGAGAAGTCAGTGGCGGATACAGAGGGGGGGGGGGGGGGTGTGTGTTAAAAGTAAAAGCGATTGCTCCCACCTACCCTAAAGTCATGTCAACTAGGATTGATATGCCATTTTTACGCGCGTTTACAATAATAGCTACTCAACGAGGACAACTGCATGAAAGTGAATCGCCTCCTGCACAGTTTTACATGCACATCGTCAGCAGAAGACCAGTTTACATGCACCGTTAGTGGAGAAGGCGCAACGCGTGCCAGAAAGAAAACTATGCGAAAAGGTTCGATAAAAGAAGCGCGTTGTTACGTACCAACAGTGGTAACTGGCGATGAAGGATCTTGGCAACGGACGTGTGGGGCCACGCAGAGAATTTTCCCGCGATGTTTGGGACGTGAACGCAGACATGCGTTCCTCTCAAACCAGGCTTTCCATCCCACTTCCTTCATTTAGTTATCTTTCGCGCAACGAACGTTTCGCAAGATCTACCATGGGTAGAATCAACCGGTTCAGGACAGATGGGCCACGTAATCAGACTTCGTGGTATTTGAAATTGCCTTCAGTGTAGTTGACGCATGCAGACAAAAATACCAATCTAAACACGCGCTTTCAACGAATGACCAGTTGTTTACATGAAATTCCGGCCCTGCTCGTTAGCGAGTTTTTTTTTTTTTTAAGCAAGGAGGCTATCTGCATCCCAACAAGCTCGCGACAACACACGTTTGTTGTATATGACAGCGCATTATAGCGTACATGCCACCAGACAGTGTGTACCAATTCAAATGATAGAATAGGCGTTCTGCGCAAGCGAGACAATGGTGACGCTCTTCGTTAGCCACACGATTAAGTCTGTTACGACCAAGTTACGAGAGCTAATTTTCGCGATAAAAGTGTTTTGTGCTCGTGGCCAGTAACGTCCTTAGCCTTTGGATGCGTTGCCCTACAAGGTACGCAATCGTGACCCTATGACGTCGTGCGTTAGAATGAAAACTGTGCTAAAAACAATTATGTTACGGAGGACCTCGTTCGGACATGTGCCTTTGCTTGCGATTTTCATGCGATGACAATGGGGAATCGTACACACTCTTCACTATACTGCCGAACGTATGCGCTGCAAAATTCTCCCCTAGAGCATACCGCTTCCAAGACGGCGTCTGTGCAAGGCACCTGAAAGACACTTTGGAAACACACCAGAGTAATTAAAACTCCTCGCATGCTTGTTCTTAACATGACGCTAATATTTTTCATGCAATCGTGTATAGAATAAGCGTAGTACGATTTCTGCTTACTCTCTTTTGTCCAATTTCAGATGCCAGGGAGGAAGACTTCCCGCTCGAATTCTTCAGCGCGGGCACACTCGTTCCATACAACACTGACAAGTTCGGAAGCCACGTCTGTAAGTGTCTATATCGACAAGCCATGCTGTATATATGGTGACGCTGCAGCCGAGTCCATATGACAATATGTGGTTGCAGCAGCACCCATAAACGTGTTTGTTTAAGTTATAACCGTTGCTTAATTCCAAAGGCGAGTGAACTTGGGTTAGAAGGTCAGGTCGGACAGTATAGCTTTAATAAGGCGTGAAAGATCAGACATAAGGCATAGACTGGTTATAAAAGACAACTTCAAATCATTCCCCAATCTTCAAGGGCATGGGTTTCGATGATTGCGCTTGTTTTTTTTTGTTGCCGTATTTCACACGCTATATCACGTCGTGCATCCTAACCAATAAGTCACACTTGATGTCGAGCAAGCCCACTTATAAAGGCGTCTTACTTGACCATTAGGCGTGTACCATTGCGCACATATACCTGTTAAGAGCAACGAACCTATATGGCGGCATATTGTGATGTTGGGTACTGCCAAAGAATGTCGCTACAATTGTTGCAAAACGTACGTAGCGAAGTCTGAGGCCAAGATCTTATTTGAGAAGGGAATAAAATGACGTTTGGGGATCCGTGCGGATCCCGAAAGTAGTTGGATGTAGCCGAAAGTAGTTGGCCTTTCTCGAAAGCGAGTCGGTACGCGACTCTGCTAAAAAGAGCCTAAGTGGCTATCTAAAAGCAATGTTACACGCGTCAATGATCTGCTGACGCTCCATTTTGGCAGCTGCAATGTCAGCGCGATGCACTTTTTGTTCTACCGGAAAGACACATGCTGAAGCTAAGGAGAAAGCTTTTACCCATGGCGGTCGTTAACAGACTCGCAAAAACACGTTCACCTGCCATATACCAAATACTTCTAGGTAGTGTTAAAGCGTAACATATCAGCACCGCGGTCGCGCTGTGGCATATATACGGTATTATAACCACCATGACCCTCCAACGCAGTGACCCTGCGCGTGAAGAACCACCGCAAAGACTCTTCGATGGTGGACGAGATGCGCAAGTACTTCGCCTTCTTCATGGACAAGATCCTCTTCGAGAACGACGCGCTCAGGGTGACCGTCGTGTTCGACTGCACCGACGCAGGCGTCAGCAACGTGGTACGTGTAACTCCCTATATAACAATAGCACCAAAGTACGAACTGAACTTTTAAAAGTAATCAGAAGTTCAAATATCCGACGGATACAAGTCATGCAGTATGCCTTGCTGCCGGTAAAAAAAAAAAAAAGATCTGGGGTGAAATAAAAGTGCGAGGAGAGGGCGGAGTAAGACAGGTGAGTCAAAACGCTGATTCAGAAGCTCTTTGTGAGAGCACGGCCCAGCGCAAATGCGAGAGGATAGTTGCTAAGATAACGTCAAATTGGAGACGACAGCTAAGCTTCGTATCTCTTTTACTTTACAGACTTCCGTAACGTCACTTTGCATTTCCCTCTCTTCTCAACCTATCACTTTCGTTAAATGACTTCTCGGTCATATTTGACTGACGTCACTTCACTTCCGGTCCACATCACGTTACCTCCAGAGACCAAATCCTGGTTTTAATTTCACTTCTAATTCCGGTGTCAACTCCTGTTCTTGAAGTTACATCCGGTTCGTACTTGAACTCTCAGCTAGCTCTGCTTGACCGCATATGTTGGCATAGTTCAGCATAGCTTGCACATGATAACAAATTACCCGCTTCCGTTTCATACTTAGCCCACTTCTGGTCAAACGCGAGATGTTTCAAACCTTCGTCCACCTTTCCTGGCGTAGTAGGCTTGATAGCCTTGGAGATAGCATTTCTCGCATGACACATATGTCCTTCCCTTCCTTTCTCTTGCACTATTAGAGTCCGAATAAAAAAAAAAAAATGAACGTTCTCTCGCAGGATATGGAACTCGTCAAGTTTGTCGTCACAGTCTTCAAGGAACTGTACCCGTGGGCATTAGGTAAGTCCCCCCCCCCCCCGTGTGGATTACGCCCCCTATACTCTTCGGTTACCTCTATGGCTCTAATCTGAATATACATACAGAGCTAGATAGACGATGGTGACCTCGGATGGCAAGCCGTTCTACAGCCCTTCCTCGCTCGGCCCTGACTCGGCGTCACCGCCATGTCTCGCCACCGATCGAACAGAAAGGCGATTGATCGCCAAGATAAAGAGCTCAGTCGTCGAAGGGCACCGAGCGACTATTTATTCTATCACGCCGCGGTCGACGATCTCACATGTACACCCTTCGTTTTCCTCTTGAAACACAATTGCACCACACCTTTCCTGTGGGGTTCGGCGCATACGTGTATTGTACGGTTTCTTCCCGTATACGACCTGGTCGCGTCAGATAGTCGAGGATAGTTTATGAGTTTAAAAAACAGACGAGAGAAAGAGATAGATTTAAAAAAAAAAAAGAGATGCCGAGAGAGATAACGAGTGACATAACCAGGCTGCTTCAAGACCGGACGCGAAGCAAACTCATTGAGTTTACAAACAGAACGTAAGGTTCAAAGCACACACACACACACAGTTTCAAGGTTATCAGGATGCATGTGTTACGGTGTGACGCAACTCGTTGCCTTGGTGCGATAAGCTGATTGTGCTCTGTTTGAAAGTTGATCACAATCTGTTATCAGACTTACCCTATTATAGGCCGATTGACAAATTAATTCAGCTCACGTGGAACTGTGATGACTAAATGGAAAAAATTTGTTATATTACCGACCAAGTAAGCAGCAGACCACTAGTAGATATGTGACGAATAGGCGGATAGAATTTCAAACAGAAACACCGCGTTGTAGAAGGTCGCCTGAAGTTTCATATTATACGTACGACGGATGTAAAGCCAATTAGCGCTGAAAACTTGACAAACTTGTTTATTTATCTGGCTATTTATTCGCTCCCTATACCAGTATATTAAAGAGTGGTTTGTAAGAGGTTACAGCCATTGAGATTGTACCTTAAACAATGACAAGTGAAGGTGGGGGATGTGTGCAGCCCAGCTTTTGAAAGAGTGCGTTTTAATTCAACGTGCTGCATTATTACAACACGGAAGCGCGCACACGTCTTTACGATTAAGTTTCTCAATGCTGTTTCTTATCTGTTTTTTCAGGATACATCATCGTGCACAATATGCCATGGATTCTTAACGGTAAGTGTGCTTCTGACTTAACTTTGCCCCTAATCAACACACTCCATTCCTAACCCCTAACCCCTAACCAACCTAACCAACACACTCTTGCCCCTAACCAACACACTCTTATCTCAGCTCACGTAGGTGAGCTGAGATAAGACAGGAAAGAAAAAAAAGAAAAAATGAAATGTCTGGGCATAGCTTTTGTTTCCTTAACGCCGAGTTACACGTGTGCTTACAAACCAAAAAAAAAAGACAAAAAAGGAGGAAGATTATCCGGCAACCACAAGGATGCTTGTTCGTTTTCCCAGCAAGTTTTCACAATTTTGAGTCACGCTTCAGCAATGCCACCACGAAGTAGTCACTTTCGTCCCGTCCTTAAAACGAAACACGCTGTCAAGTCGAGCGCAAAGATTACGACCTCGGTGTGAGTGCAGCCACACTCGAATTGAGCAGGACAAAGGCGACTGCGGGCGGAGAGATCGGTATTATTATATACCGTGTGCTGTATACGGGAGGACAGTGGCACGAGTGCCACAATTTTTCTTAGCAGCCACCCATCACTGACGTTGCACTTGTGCCACCCCGTTTGGTGTTTTATTTTCGGAATTTTCTATCTTAACCTGTCGTGGGTCCCTAGTAACTGAATGCATGTGGCCATGCGGTCCTCCTGCGAAGTACGATGGGTGCGATTCCTTATTTCGGAGTCATCAAGGTTCTGCCCACGGTGGGCGGTGGTGGAAATGCCACCCACCGATCCGTTTCACCACCCACTGCACTCGATAGAAGAATTGAGAGATAGGCAGAGGCCAACCAGAATTGTACCATACGACCAATTAATTGTAGCATAGACCACCAACCACACCAATTGACCTCCTCGAAACGCGCGCCTTAGAAAACTGTGATTAGCAATTGTGTGCGCGCAACGCCAGCGGTCAGTGCCTTCCGTTACCTGACTGAGTGAAAAGAAATCTGCGTGGCTACAAATGAAATGTGGACGCACGTGAAAAATGAAAATTTCGAATACCTGAAATTCGTAAACTTCGTATCTGGAATCCTTGCTTTCTCCCTATCAAGACGCCAACCTTAAAGAAAAAGAAAAAAAATTCTGGGCAAGATCTTACTATACAGATACGGCGTTTGTGAATACCCACGTGTTGAATTGCGACGTACAACAACGCAACCTATTTTGCCTCGCATTTTTTTTTCGTCAGTCTAAGCTCCCATTTTTCTTTCACGTTTGCATGTGTACATGCATACATGAATACATATGCACGCACAAACACGCATAAGGGGTGAATTGAACACCACTTTCCACGAAAAAAAAAAATCCTTACTAAGACCCTAGTCGCTGATCTCTTGACTCCGCATATATATGGTACAAATACAAAGCCAGGTGTGCTTTAAGCTAATCCGACGTCGTATTCCTTAGCTCCATCTCTTCTTTACGCAAGAAATCTAAGATGCGGACGAGCAACACTTCTTTTCTGTTGTTACAGCTGTGTGGAAGATCGTGAAGGCCATGCTTCCGTCCGAGGGGCTGCAGCGGGTGATATTCACCAGCAAGGAAAGCCTGCTGCAATACGTCGACAAGAGGAACCTGCCAAAGTACATGGGAGGAGAGGTACGTATGCCGTGTGGACGATATGGACGGGCTCTGTGCGGGGCATGCAGCAGACAGACAAGGAGCTGCGACGCAAGGACATAGAAACCACCACCCCATTGGATTGAGGCGCTCATAGAAGCCATGGTTTGGAAGGAATTAATGACCCGTGCTATGCGTCGGTCACTGTTGGCTCTTGTGCATGCTATACATTGAAGACGTTGAAAATCTCAGTTAACTGCGTTTACGGAGTTAATATTCTGCCAACAGCAAGTATATAAAACTTACCTCACCTAACTGGTTACCGCCACGAAATTTATAGTCTCCGGATGAGCCAGGATGGTGACGATGGTGGAAGGGGGGGGGGGGGGGGGGCTTGTGAGGGAAGGAATAGAGCTTGATCAAAAAGTCACCTAACGCTGAAATATGACCTTTGATTAATTGATATGTGGGGTTTAACATCCTAACACCACCATATGATCATGAGAGGCACCGTGGTGGAGGGCTCCGGAAATTTCGATCACCTGGGGTTCTTTAACGTGCGCCCGAATCTGAGCACACGGGCCTACAGTATTTCCGCCTCCATCGGAAACGCAGCTGTCGCAGCCGGGATTTGATCCTGCGACCTGCGGGTCAGCAGGAAAGATGACCTTTCCTACATGCCTTAATTATATATGCGTGCAATTCTGAAGGGTATCCGACGTCAGGTTTCGAGAAACATATCGATTTTCAAGATGACTGAAATCTGGACACCGATTCTAAGATAATAGTTTTTATTTCATGGACCTATATGTTTAAATTAACACATAGTGACAGAATGGGGTGCCTCGCAAAAAAAAAAAAAATGCTTGAGATCAGCCACGTCTGTGTAGCTCCATCCTGAACATACTTTTAAGGAAATAAATATCATCACCCGATACCAGTCACATGCAGGCCAGGTCACGCGATCGAGACCCACAGAAATGGACGGTCATCTGCATTCGTCTACATTCTGTCTCTGTTTACCTTGCGCAGGACACGTACGTGTACGAGTACCAGAAGGGCAACCCCCTCGGCGACCGGTGTCCACGATGCCCACATCCCAAGGTGGCCATATCGTGAACACTTTCCGTCACAAGGAGTTCATCGAATGTCAACGTTGACCTTACCGCGGAGAGACTGTGATAGTCCCGAGTCTTCTCTATAGCAACCATCCGCAACGACCGATGCCAAATGACGCTTCAACTGTCCTGGAAATCGTCAAACTCTGCAGCGACAGCGCTTTGCGGCAACGACATATGTGCACAGCAGCCGTCTTGAATCTAAAAATAACTATCGAGATGACCGATTCGACAGCGTGTCGTGAATTGACAACGAACGCGTTAAGCGTCGAGGGCAGCCAGCATCGATAGCTGCTGGAAACACAGCTTTGAAGTTGAGCCGCCTGTGTCACGCGGAAGGTATCTGACAGTTGAACTCACGAAATGACTTTATACCTCGTGTCGACCGAACAAACACAAGAACAGCACATATACCCGTTAATTTTTGTAAAACACGTTTCGTGTTGTAACCTGTGAAAAGGGTGTACGCGTGTAGGAAACGTTAGTTACGTTAGATGTTACGTTAAACACGTGTAAGAAAGTGACATTGCTTTCCTCTGCGTAGAGGATTTTTTTTTTCGTTTCGAAGTGTTTTGATTCGCCACCATCTTGCTTCGACAACAAAAAAGCCTGCGTCATATATATATATTTTTTAAACTTCTATGACGTCTTAGCGAAGTTGCATGTTCTGCTGTTCTGCTAGAATTTGAACGGGACTCCAGGTAGCCGCTGTTCGCTTAGCTGTCTCTGATCAGTAGTGGAAGAAGAGCGATGTATCTACATAATTGACAAAAACAACAAAATGCTCGCACCATCGCGGCTGAACAGAAATACTAAGTCGTTTCCGTGGTCGGGAACTACGCTGACAATCGCTACATATACAGTAGTCCTTTTTTTTTTGCTTCATACATATCCATCCATTCATCGTTCTCGATCATTTCAAAAGCTATAGGACGGCATGCATTGATATTTTAGCTAGTCGATAAAGCTGAGTACACGATGTTGTGAAAGTGCGGTACTTTTTGTAACGTGTGGCGTGCTTGAGCGATATTGACAGCAGTGACCAGAGAGAATATGGTTTGTTAGGGCCATAAAACTGATATCTGTGACAACTGAATGACCGGTTAATAGACTTATCACTTATCATCTATTTTATAAACCGATCAAGTGTGACATGAACGACTGTGTGGCTCAGCAATCTCTAAATTGACTGCCCTGTGTGCTGAGGAACAGATGTTCGTTATGTTTCAAAGGATAATGTGCTGCTTTGTAGCTTTGGTGACACTCGAAAACAAGCATTTCATACCTTGTTTTTTCCTCCTCTGTTTGTCATTGCAATTTCTATTTGTACCTATTATTGGCGGCGTGCTCGGTTCTTAAAAAAACAAAAAAAAAACGGCTCACCAAGCTTATTTATACCAAGAAGTCGTTGCATATTTCAGTACAACTGTGCGTGAAAATAGACACTGACAAGAGAGAAGAATATGCACTAAGCGAAGACTTCAAACTAAATTTATCGTGCCACTGAATCTGTTCATACGCAGTATAATTGCGCACGTGAGTTTTTGTATAGCATAGAAGTTGTTGTATACATGTAGCACAATATTATCCTCCTGGGTGTGACGATGCTCGAAAGTTATTTAAATTGTCCCAGATTGTGACTGTGGGAATGTGTGCGCAGCTCCGCAATGCTGTAAATATATAGGTGAATCTTCGTAATGCATGTACACGAGTCGCATCACATTTTTTTTCTTTATATATATTCTGTATACAGTTGTACAAACTATGTCAATAAAACTCTATTTCGTAAAACTTCCTCCTTCAGCCTCGGCCCTTTTGCACGTGACGTCACAGACGACCATTTTTAACGTATGTGCTACTCCAAAACGGCGGCTTTGATGACGTCAAGGTAGCCCAATCACGCGGCACTCAGCCTGCTTGGTACTCCGACAGGCCGTTTTCATGACGTTAGTGCAAGCCATGCGTAAGCAAACAACGAACAAAGGGAACGTGCGTAGCGGAGCTACCCACAAAACCAAAGCACAAAATTACCTTCATTGAACTGTAAAGGGGTCTGGCAGCTGGGGATTATGTAAGTGGAGAATATCGCGTCCTTTCCCGGTTACTTCATAGGGTAACCTTCTTGAGCAAACCTATCTCCACATAGCTGGCACCGAACACGAGACCCGAACCCACAACCCTGAGGTTGACCTCATGCTCTACCTGAGCTAGCCCAGCTAAACCGAGCTAATGGGAGAGGGGGCCATCACTGGGGGCCAATGCCGAGCTCCACGACGTTCGCTAGCATGACGCAAGGGGAAAGCATCGTCCGGGCATGTTCGGACTCGTGTCTCCGTGTAGGGAAAACAAACGCATGGCTTGCACCAGACAGAAAGGCCCGGTGGTGAAGCCACGCTGACCATGTCACCGATTAACGGTGGTTTTCGGCGCTCGAGCCACATCGAGCGAGCACTCGCGCTAGCTGGGGAAGGAGGCGCTCTAAAGAGGAGGGTGCGCCTCATGATATATATATTGTCACGGTTATTAGCCCTAAGCTCAAAAGGAGGAAGAAGCCAGCATCACGAGCGGCAGTCTCTGGCGTCTTTCGAGGAAGACGACGTTGCGTGTCTGCATGGATTAGAGGATACAAACAAACAAACAAACAAACAAACAAACAAACAAACAAACAAACAAACAAAGCATTTGCGCTTTGTTTTAGTGCGCGAATAGAGCCTTGCTGTTAACGTTGAAAGCATATCGACGGTTGCCCCTCGTCGAGATGCTGCAATACCTCCAGTACGATACGACGATACGACGAACCATGCAACGCCGCCGACACCGCAGGAAATCGTAAGCGCCAACATAGCTGTTTACATAGACGGACGCCCTGTGACAGCGCTAGTAGACACTGGCACAGATTTCTCTATCATGAGCAGAAAGCTTGCCGATCGGCTTAAAAAAGTTAAAACGTCATGAACGGGGCCTAACATAAGAATCGCGGGGGGCCAACTGATGACGCCGACTGGAAAGTGCCCTGCCAGAATTAGTATCGGTGATTCAGCTTTCGTTGCCACGTTCGTGATTTTGTCCGAGTGCTGCAAAGACCTGATCTTGGGGATGGACTTCCTTTGTGAATACGGCGCCGTCATAGACATTCCATACAGGTCAGCTACATTTTACAGCTACATTTACATTTTGATGGCCCCAGATGAAGTTTCAGATATGAGATGTAACGACCAGCGGCGTAAACATCTGCGCGTCTTCGAAGATCACGTGACCCTTCCACCCCGTTCAAGTGCTCTCGTAGCTGTAACATGCGATCACCCAGGCAACTTCGACCACATCGCAGAACAAATTCCAGCATTGCTATTCAGCCATGGCCTATTTGTTGCAAGAGCCCTCGTAAGCCTCAATTGCGGACACACGCACGTTCTGGTTACGAACTTCAGTACTAAGCGACGACATCTTGCAAGAGGTATGGCAGTCGCGTACGTTGAGGAGCTCATTGAGGTTGCAGGCTGCTTGACTGTGGAGAAAGCCGATGTCACCGGGTCAGCCCCTCTATCCGTCAACGTTGGCCCAAGTTTACTGCCCCCGCAGAAGCAATGCTTAACTTATTAATGAGTTTCAGGACTGTTTTTCTTCGACGTCCAGAGTTCACCAAACGCCGTTGACGAAACATCGCATAATTACGGATGAAACGGCCAGACCCATACGGCAAAACCCATACTGTTCACATTCCCACGGAGTAGCTCCGTGGGAACGTGAGGCCAGAAAGTCAGGTGCGAAATATGCTTCGGGATGACGTTATTCAGCCGTCAAAAAGTCCTTGGGCATCACCGGTAGTATTGGTGAAGAAAAAAGATGGCACCTTACGTTTCAGCCTGCGTTGATTACCGCAAGCTCAATCAGGTTACGAAAAAAAAAAAAAAAAAACGTTTACCCGCTGCCTCGCATAGACGATTCTCTCGATCGACTACGCCATGCACGGTATTTCTCGTCGATGGATTTACGGAGCGGATATTGGCAAATGGCAGTTGACGAAAGAGATTGAGAAAAAACAGCATTTGTGACACCCGATGGTTTTTATGAGTTTAAAGTTCTCCCGTTGCACTTGTGCTCAGCCCCGGCAACGTTTCAGCGGCTCATGGACACAGTCCTGTCAGGTCTAAAGTGGCAAACGTGCCTGGTATATTTGGACGATGTAGTTGTATTTTCAGCGACATATGACGAGCACTTGAAGCGACTACACGCGGTATTTCAAGCGATACGATCGGCCGGACTATCACTTAAGCCAGAAAAATGTCACTTTGGCTTCGAAGAGCTTCTTTTCTTGGGACACCTTGTCAACAGTGAAAGTGTAAGGCCTGACCCAGACAAAATAGCCACTGCTGCAAGTTTTCCTACGCCATCAGACAAGAAGGCAGTGCGGCGATTTTTAGGCCTGTGCGCCTATTACCGATGCTTCATTGAGAATTTTTCGCGTATTGTATCACCTTTAACACAACTCACCCGTGAAGACGCCACGTTTGTGTGGGGTGAAGAGCAGCAGGAAGCGTCCAACAAGCTGCGACAACGTCTTCAAAGCCCGCCAGTTCTCGGACACTTCGACGATGACGCTCCGACAGCGCTTCACACCGACGCCAGCAATGTCGGCTTAGGAGCTGTGCTCGTTCAGTGGCAAGATGGCGCCGAACAAGTAATTGCTTATGCAAATCGGACTCTCTCCCGTACAGAGGAGAATTACTCTACCACTGAAAAAGAGTGTCTCGCGGTGGTGTGGGCGGTCATGAAGTTTCGTCCATATTTGTACGGCCGCCCGTTTAAAGTCATCAGCGATCACCACTCGCGTTGCTGGTTGACGAACATAAAGGACCCGTCAGGACGATTGGCGCACTGGAGCCTCAAGCTTCAAAAAATCGATATGGCTGTAGTTTATATAAATCCTGAAAGCGACATACAGACGCTGATTGCCTTTCTCGCGCCCCATTAGAAGACGTAAATGCTGAAGATGATGACTATGCGGCGTTTGTCGGTGTAGTCAACACGTCTACAATCGCACAGCAGCAACGCGGCGATCCCGAGTTGCAACCCCTTATTGATATCTTAGAGGGACGCACATCTGCTATACCAAAGCTCTTCGAAAGAGGGGTAGCATCGTTTTGTTTGCGCAACGAGGTCCTTTAAAGGGTGAACTTTTCTCCGAGCGGCAACACCTACTTACTTATCGTCCCAACGCCACTCAGGAAAGTACTAGAGGCATGCCATGACGAACCGACATCCGGTCATTTAGGCCACACACGAACGCTATGCCGAGTAAGACAGAAGTATTACTGGCTGAAACTGACGGCAACCGTTCAACAGCACGTTCAGACTTGTCTTGAGTGCCAACGTAGGAACTGTGTGGCAGCCGTCAAACCATGCAGCAGGGCTCCTCCATCCAATCGATGTACCGAAAACTCCATTCGCTCAAGTCGGAATGGATCTTCTAGGACCATTTCCAACTTCGGCTGCTGGTCTCAAATGGATAATTGTAGCCACAGACTACTACCTTACTCGCTACACCGAAACAAAGGCTTTGTAGCGGGGCACAGCAAGTGAAGCAGCCGAGTTTTTCATTGAGAATATAGTCCTGAGGCATGGCGCTCCATCTGTAGTAATAACTGACAGAGCAAAAGTGTTAACAGCCGAGCTATTACGCAGTTTTAATTCTATCTGGAATATCTCACCGGCGCACAACGGCATACCATCCGCAAACAAATGGTCTGGCGGAACGGCTGAACAAAACACTTGCGGATACGCTTTGCATGTACGTCGATGTGGAACATAAAAACTGGGACGAGATACTGCCTTACGTCACTTTCGCTTACAATACGGCACAGCAAGAGACAACACGCATGACACCATTCCGTCTTCTCTATGGCCGTGACGTCACAACCATGCTCGACGCTATATTGCCGCATGAAAGTGATGGCGTTCACAGAAGTGCAGACTACATAACTCAGCTTGCTGAAGAAGCCCGCCAACTTGCCCGCGTACGTATTCGTCGCCACCAAGAATACGACACAAGGCGCTATAATCTTTGTCACCGACCTGTCTCCTATGAACCAGGACAGAAAGTTTGGATCTGGAGCCCAGTTCGCCGTCGTGGCCTCTCGGAGAAGCTCTTGAGACGGTACTTTGGGCCGTATAAAGTTCTCCGTCGTCTCAGTGACGTTAACTATGAGGTGTTTCCCGACAGTTCACATTGTTCAAGACGTCAAATACATGCACCAGAAGTTGTGCACGTGGTTCGGGTGAAACCTTATTTGTCCGAATGAACCCGTGGGCTGCCAGTGACTACAAACCTTTCCACCATGACGATGAAGCATCGGAACGATGCCTTCTTGAGAGGGAGGCTGTCATGGTTATTAGCCGTAAACACAAAAGGACGAAGAAGCCAGCATCACGAGCGGCAGTCTCTGGCGTTTTTCGAGAAAGACGATGTTGCGCGTCTGCTCTTGCGCTTTGTTTTCGTGTGCGAATAGAGCCTTGCTGTTAACGTCGAAAGGAAGCCTTGTGTCCTGTTCTTTGCACGTTGCGACAATATACAATATATATATATATATATATATATATATATATATATATATATATATATATATATATATATATATATATATATATATATATATATATATATTCACGAGATACGTGACGCTAAACAGGCTCATAAAGAGTGCGCCACACTCGCCGCCACGGCCACAAGTGGCACTGACTGACACTCCCACGGTTAAATTCACATATAAAACATAATAAAGTGACTGGGGGGATAGC